GGGGAGAGGGGGGGGGGGGGGGAGAGAGAGAGAGAGAGAGAGAGAGAGAGAGAGAGACAGAGACTCTCCTTAGAATTTTGTCATGCTGTGTTCTCTTCCTTCCGCCCATCAGATCTTTGGCATTCATGGATGTGCCCAGTGTGTTCAGGCAGACTGGGCCAGGTATTTGAATTTCAGACACCATGTGGGATCTATGTGGGACTTCTGTTGAGCAATGTGTTACTGTGCACAGAGCTGGCCCTGACCCTTTGCCTATTTAATTTTGATCTCCATTTGAAGTCTAAGAGGACGTTGAATGATTGGAAGATTTGGCCGCATCTAACCTCAGATCCAGGAAGTACTGATTGTACCTGGCACCTCTTGAGTTCTCACATACATGAGAATCCTGTGAGAATCAGATAGAATTACCACTTTTTCTATCAGTTACATCAGAATGAAAATTAGGGAAAGTAGTGCTATTAAAGGGAAATTCTTGTCCCTATCTCTAATTCATAAAAAGTACATATTATGAGAGGATTTCAAAAAGATCATGGAAAATGGAATCAAAGAGGGAATTTATTTTGGATGCAAAAAGTTTTTGAAATCTATGCATGGTTTTATCCTAATACTCATTTTCCATGACCTCTTTGAAGACCTCTCATCTTTGTGAATATTGGTAGTTCAATTGGTTTTGGTAAGAGATCATTTGTGAATATAAGGTCTTTTTACTGAGTCCAGACACTGTGTTGCAATGCCTAGGTATGGGTGGAGATTGAGGTGGGTTTGCTCTTTCACAACTTTGAGAGACAAGAGGGGAGGGACTCCGTATTACCATGGTGGATTGGGAATTGAAAGGTTGGTTCTGTTTGTTGGTGAATAATGTGTCCATCTCAGTTGTTATAATGATCTATAGAAAAATAGATGGTTTTGGGCCAGCTGGTGATGTGGTGATTAAAGCAGTTGGATCCACTTGGCTGACTGTGCAAGTCGAGTCTGGTGATTTGAAAGAACACATTGGATGGGGTCAGCAGGTGGTGTAGTGGTTGAGGCACTGGACTCTCATATGATTATGGTTCGAGTTCTGATCACCAGGTACATGCTTCTGCATGCCCAAAATCCCAAGAGAAGAATGAAGGTGAAGGAATTGTGCCATGGACATCCCCCCTAGAAAGTGATTGCTCACTTTGCCTGTGTCTCTGGTGAGCACACATGCCCTATAGTAAAAATCTCTCTTAAAAAAAAATAAAGAAAGAACATGTTGGGCATGTGTGTATGTGTCTGAAATCTAAAAGTAATGGAGGAGAAGGGATTGTGGTGTGACCATTCCACAAGGGGGATGGGCAGAGGGTACTTTCTTCCTTTTCCCCCTTCTCTTACTCTGTCTCTCTCTAGTAAGTACATGTGCCCTTTGGAAAGTTAAAAAGAAAAAAGAAAGGAAGGAAGGAAGAAAGAAAAGAAATAGATGGTTTTGCTATGCTATAACCTTTGTTGTTGACCTTGTGTGGAGATAAACTGATCAGTCTTTATTCCTGGTATTTTCTCTTGCCAGCATTACCCTGTATCCTAAACATTACAATGACCTGGTAACAACACTAAAAAGAAGGCATTATTTTTGGAGAGTTAAATGAAAGACAAGTTAATGTAATTAGTATGGTTAAAGTGTTCTGATTTTTTTTTTCTCTTAGGTAATTCTTCCTGCAGGATGAATTAAGAGAAGAGGACACTTATTCATCAGTAATGGAGAGCAATTTGTCAGTTTCCAATATGCAAGAACCTTTGTCTTCACCCTTGGAAAAGCATCTTAGCTCAGCTAATGGAAATGGAGATCTTGATTCAGGTAGGATTTTTGTTTTCTAACTCCATTTGGCTTTTTAATTTATTGGCCAGTGTCTTCCTGAAGATGTTTAGGAAACTATGCGGCAGCTTTTCTAGATCTCACCTGCTGCCTGTTCCTGGGATCTGCTGTCTTATTAATGAGGATGAAGAAGCTTTAAAGTTAGGTAAAGCTTGGTTCACAATTAATATTACTATACTAGAACGAGGAAACTAGATTGTAGTGCAGTGACACATCACTTCAAAGTTCAGTGGCTCAAGCCAGTCACTGTTTATAATCATGACGATTTCTGACAGACCTCTGTGATGCCCTGTCCCATGAGTCATTATGTGCCGTCCCACAGTTGCTGTCATCTCATCCTGGCGCTCAGGGCTTGTCACTGTAGAGAAAAGCAGAGCTGGAGGGTCTTAAACCAGCATTTAAATACTCTAGAGCTCAAGTGCCATTTTTACAACCAGGCTTTAGTTACATGCTTCTCCCATTGCAAGGGAGGTTGGAAAAGAGCATCCTCTCCCAAGTCCTGGAGTGGAATGGATGAACAGGGTCTGTCTAAACATTAGGTAACCCCAGCACAAGATGCTATCCAAGATGGAGAGCACACCTTACAGAGAAGTATGTGATGTGAAAGTAATTTAGTGAATTTGTTGTGAAGTATTTTTCTCCTTAAGAGATCAGAATGACAACAGCAAAAAAAAAAAAAGAAAAAAAACAAAAACAAAAAACAACCAACCACAGCCTTTGATTGGATTTTAGTATGTAAAGAATTGCTAAATGCATCTTTTTAGAAATTCTTACACAATAATTTATTTAAAATACTTTTTCTTAAAAAAAGAATCATACCATAGATTTGTAACAGCAAATTAAGTAAGGGCAGTTGAGCTCCCTGAATCATGAACATTCACTGCGGTGAATTTATGTAAAAATGTTATCCATGAATTCAGTAAGAGACTTGACCATTGCCTGAAAAGGTACAAAATTTGTTCACTTTTTTTTAAAGAGATTTTTGCCTTCTCTAGAGAGAGATAGACACAGACAGTAAGAGGAAAAGTGAGAAATCACCCCCCAGCGAGGATGGCCACGCCAGAATCCCTTCTCCTCCATTCTCCTCACAGGATATTGAACATGCATACACACGTACCTGGCATGACATTCAAGCTACTAGACCTGGGACTCAAACTGCGGTCAGTCATATGGGAGTCCAACGATGTAACCATTATGCTATCTGCTGGTCCCTGTCTTCACGTTTTGATGAGTCCGGACAGAATTGTACATTGCTTACTATCATGAAAGTTCCATGTGGCAGTCCACCACAACTGCAGATTCAGATGAGATTTACACATCAGATATAAAAGAGAAGGCAAATTCAATGTTTTTCAGCTGGATCTATAATAAATTGACTTGCAAATGAGGGACAATAGGTATTGGAGCATGAACTCAAACTATGACAGGTACTCGAAATTTAAGTCTATGGGGCCAGATGGTAACATAATGGTAAAATGTGATGCTCTGCAAGGTGATCACACAAGGAACGGTCCCCTGTTAAAGTCTGGAGACTTCCCTGAGTATGCCATGCCCATATGTCCATGATCCCGGCTGGCCGAAGGCTGGGAGTGGATTGTGGCATTAGGACATTGTTGAGGGTGCTTTCTGTCTGTTTCTTCTCTCTCATGGAAGAAATAAGTACATAAATAAATGTAAAAAAAGCTAAGTGCTTTACTTGTATTAACTCACCTAATCATTCAACAACCCAGAGAAAACAGCTACTTCTATTGTACCCATTTTATAGAAGAGGAAACGGGATGAAAGTCCTTGGTGAATGTATCGGAAGAAGGATTCTCTCTGCTATCTGAGGTTCTGGAGTTGGTGCTCTGCAACAGGGTTGATACCTGCCCCTTCAGCATGGGAAACAGGCATCAGGAGATCTATTCCCCCAATATACACATGCACATACAAGGCACAACTCAGATTCTTATTCTTTGCTCCTGTCCTCTCTCCTCACTATGCTGTGGATACATGACTTCATCTCTCTAATGAGTGATTCCGTAGATCTTCTCTGAGAAAATGACAGGGTTAAAGAGTATGGAAGAAAATGAAATGAAAAAAATAATAATAAAAGGAAAAAAAATAATATTCAACAAATAAGATTAAATATATAATTCTTTGAAAAAAATTCAAAGATGAAATTTAACTTGCTACTAAATGTCATTATCATTAACCTTACAAATAATTTATAAAATATATTGTATATTATATATTCTTTACTTGACTGTACACACAAGCCATACTAAAATGTCTTTAAATTGCTAAGATCAGTGTTTCAGATACTGGGAATTCTAACTAGATTGGCATAATTAAGACCAAAAAATAAAAATTGACATCACTAACTTGGAAAAAAAAAAAAAGAGTGGAAACTTTGTCCTGGTTGCTCCAGGCTGTTTTTCTTATGTTGTTTGCTTCTCCTAGCTCCTGTGATTCCTTGCAATGATGAGCCTCCTCTAAAAAACCTTCAGCTAAAACCATGGACCAATGATTGTAATTACTAATTGTTTGCCTTTTTTTAAGGCAAGTTGGGATCAATAACTGATACCCAAGTCCTATAAATGAACTATGCACAATTTAATATTCCTCCTTGTCCTGGGAACCATTCCATGTGCCCAAAGGAGGAAGTGCGTCCACAAAGCGCCCACAGGGATTCTGAGCATCCTCAGCTGCAGTGATAAAAGCCAGCGGAACGGCATGCTGACATAGGTGTGCTCACATACGGCCGTAGATTCTTTGATGGTATATTTGTGGGCATGCTAAATGTAATTTCCTGATGAAGTCGGAAGATATAGGTGTTGCATGTTTGGACAGGGCAAGCCTCTGAGTAGAGAGAATTAGGCTAAAATGTGGGCTTGACTATTTTTTTATTTTTCCCATTAGGAGATTACATGGAGTACCACAGGCTCATGGGGAGGAAAGGAGTTCTTATTCTTAGAAAAATTCAGATCTTACTCTTCATGCTGGGAACTAGTTCTGTGTGACTCAATTGTATTTCCTTTTAGTCTTTTAAAATTTTTTAGAAACTTCATGAGGGACCAGCAGTTGCATAATGGCTATGTTGCTGGACTCCCACGTAGTCGACAGCAGTTTGAGTCCGGAACTGGTGGCTTAAACTCAAGCTGGGCGTGTGTGCGTGCGTGCCCAAGATCTCAAGGAGACTGGAGGAGAAAGGATTGCTGCATGACCATCCCCCCGGGGGATGATTTTTCACTTTCTGTCTCTCTGGCGGGTGTATGCGCCCTATAGCAAAAACCTCTTCAAAAATAAAAGAAACTTTATGATAGAGCATATGTGTATACATAAGGAGTAAGGGGAGGGAAACATTCTCTATAGGGCTTAATCAGCTGTGATCCTCTTCTCCCAGCCCTCCTGCCTGCCAGGATCCTGGGCATGTGTGCATATACCTGGTGTGTTTTCAGACTGACTGGTCCAGAGACTCAAGCTACAGTCTGCATGTGGCTTCCAGCTCTGCAGTCTGGTATAATACTGGCTGTGCCACAGTCTGGGCCTTTTTATTTTTTATTTATTTTATTTTGTTTTATTTTGTTTCTTCAGTAAAAAAGAGAGAGAGAAAGAGAGAACCACTATAGGGTCCTCACAAACTCAGGTCCACCCCCAGACTTAGCTGGCCTGTACAGGGGTTCATATCCCAGGACCTTCTTGTGTGGGTCCAGCAGTACAGAGCATTGTGTTACCACTACATCATTGCAGCTGGCCCAGGTATTCCTTTTATTCCTAATTTTCTTTTGAGTAATGCCTACTCTTCCAGGGTACATGGTTTTTAGGTGTTTTTTCCCCCCCTAGATAAGCTCTGGATGTGAGTTCATCAGAATGGCCACATCTTCGTATTACAATGACTGTCCTTGTCTGTGGTGTGGTCCTGCCACTGCAGTCTCAGATCTAGGGGTGGCCTCGAGCCATAGTGTCTTTCTGAGTTGCTTCTGTTGAATACAGTCACAATCGAACTATTTCCTAAGCCTTACGATGGTAAGAAATGATGCCTAGTATTGAAAAAGAGAAAAATTTAATGTCTTCTTCCTTTCTCTTTCCACATTAAAAAACATACCTAGGACATAAGAGACTCAGTGAGATTTTGTTCCTTCTGAATCTGCCAGTTCTCAGTTGCTTTATTGGGTCGCGGTTATGGGAGCTCATATTCAGCCTTACAGGTTGTAAAATGGTACAAACTCAAGATTTTATTACTTAAAAAAAAAAAGGTGTATGGGCCATTTGTTTATTCCATTTTTCACTCTAAAGCCACTTGTACTCTGTTAGTAAGGTATTCTCTTTTATGTTTATTATGAATTATTCTGGTCCAACAAATAGCTTTCTGTTTTCTAAAACTGCATTGCTGCTAATGAACATGTCTGCTTTCTTTTAGAGTGTGGAGTTTTCTTAATAGCTTTTCATAGTCAGTTTTCATGACCTCATGGGGAAATGCCTCCTATGGTGGAGGGAGATTGTCAGAGTTTCCTTGATAAAATGTTTATGGGTTTAAGAGGTTTATGAATCAGTTGTAAATATTTGCTCTGGGTTTATGAGACCTCTCCTCATAAACATTGTATGTGTTTATCTATTGCTCATTGAAAAGTCTTTAGACAACCAGCTGCCTGGGCACAGAAGCCAGAGAAGGGTTCTATGTGACAGCTTTTAAAAGGCCATATTGCAAGTCAGCCTACATTTTGACTGCGACTTAGTGTTAAAATAGTACCATTAATGTCACCAAGGCTGGACATAAAGGTTTTCACTTTTGAAACCGTTTCTAGGTCCGACTTTTGGGGTGCTTTTTGGAGTGGTTTTTTTTTTTTTTTTTTTTTTTTTTTTTGAGAAGAGCAGAAAATGGCAGAGATTCCTGTTCTGATGACTCCTATGGGGTAACACCATGTACTCCAACCTCACCTCACTGAATGAGTGTTAACCAAAGCATGGAGAGCCTGTTCAATTGGGAGAAAAATTTGGCATAAAGTTTTTTTTGTTTGTTTTTGAAAATACTAATTGCTTAGCTTGGGATAGTACAAAGAATAAAGAACTGTGACAAATGGTCTCAAGCTGAAGTTGAAAATGTAGCCTCTGGGCACCTCAATTTGAAGTGATAGAGTTGTTGGGTCCTGGTGGGTGGTGGTGATGCAATTGGTCAAGACCTCTCATTGCGGTTGTGGGTGACTGCATGCATTTCTGATGGTCCAGCCTCAGTTTGAGCATTTCTGATGCAGAAGAACTAATCACCCTCTAGGGAGCCTGCTCTAGTTTTCAACAGCTGCCGTTCTCAGATGCCTTCCCAGGAGCCCTTGCTGGATCCCCTGCTTACTTTGGTCTAAGACTGAATTTCATGCTGTCTTCTCCCTGTGTTATCTTTTTCTTCCCCATAAACAGGTTCTAGGTGCTCATTCCGTGGTGTTTTTCTCTCTGTGGGTGACTGCTGCCTTCCACTTTACCCTGTCCTGCACCTTCCCCTTGCCTGATTTTAGCTATGGTTTGCTTAATACTCACCAGCTTAGAAAGATGGATAAGCTTGAAGCTTCCTTGGATTCTCCAGGTGGAGAAATGGGTAGTGGTGGTGGAGATAGAGATTTCTGATGCATGATACAGGCAGAAGGAGGAGGTGGTCAGCCAGCCTATGATGGACCTCCATCTATATGGCAGTAAGGACTGTGATTCTGGGTGACATTCTTTAGCTTTTGAGTTCCTGTGCGCTTTTCTGTGAATATCCATCTCAGCAAGGTTCTTAGAAGGGTTACGAGGTGAAGCCTATAAAGCACTTAGCAGAGAGCTGACACTCAAATACAGCATAGCTCCTAGGATGTCCTCATGAGGGAGTGTGTCACTTTTTTGGAATAAACAGGGGCTGTCTGAGGGCATAATTTCAGCCTGAGACCAGACAGCTGGTGTGGAAATAACTTCTGGACTTTTTCTGTCCTTAGACACCACCACATCAGGGCACTTTGGTGAATAAACAATGCTGGCCAGTAAATCAAAAGGTAAAGTGGGTAATAGTTGCCCAGTGCTGTGTAAGGCGCGTATCGTGGGCAGAGCTGTCGGGGGCTCCCTGCACTGTTGCCTGAACATAACCACCTCTATCTGGGTTTGCTTCACTGTGTCTTAGAAGCTCTAAGACCCCTGAGATCATCCACTATTAGCTAGAGGCTGGATGACCTCTTCACTTTTCTTTAACAGGGGGTGGGAGAACACTTTTCTGCTTGAAGAGCATAAATCCCTGGGTGGAACAGAATGTGGGAAGAGAGATAAAGGAGATAAAGAGTTTTCTCTTCAGAAGGCATTTTCTTTTTTATTGGACTTTGATGGTTAATCCACTTTATTGGAGTGCATTTGAGAAGACAGTTCTAAGTAGGTTTGACTTAGAAGGCAAAAATTAAGGTCACTGCCATTCGACGTAGCAGCTTCTGACTATGAAAAATGAGCTTCTGCTATCAATTTCTGAAACTATATGGAGTAGTATTAGGATACTTTTCTTACTTACAGCTTCAAAATCTCTATAGGAAAAAAAAAAAGAGTAATGATAGCCTCCAGTACAACACGGCTTGCTTTCTTGTACTAGCCCATTGTTCCTAAGTCCCCTGCCTCATGTGGGAGGATATACCATTTCTACACTCATCGCTTGTTTGCACGCAGCTATATTTACTCTTTGTCAGTGAAACAGACTTTTACTTGGAGAAGATACATGGGATGACCATCACCATTCGTTGAGTGTTAGTGTGTGTGTGTTTCTTGGAGAGGTTTTTTGCTATAGGGCACGTGCACTCACCAGAAAGGCAGAGAGCGACAGAGACAGAAAGTGAGAAATCACCCCCCGGG